AGTTTTCAATTCTACACCAATCAGAAGTCTTATTTCACTGGCCAATCATGCTGCAGTATTGTAACCCAATCAGATTTCAATATCTTTGTTAAAAATGAGCCAATCAGATTTTGTTTACATTTGGCTATAAAAGCTCGAGCGCAAAATTTGAAATTATTCGCAAATTCTCCTTCGAAGTTTATATTCCAAAGCAAGATTCAAGTTGTGAAATGGCTCGTACAAAGCAAACCGCTCGTAAATCAACTGGTGGAAAGGCACCAAGAAAGACCTTGGCAACGAAAGCTGCTCGTAAGAGTGCCCCAGCTACCGGTGGTGTGAAGAAACCTCACAGATACAGGCCAGGAACTGTCGCCCTGCGAGAAATCCGTCGTTATCAGAAATCCACCGAGCTTCTGATCCGCAAACTGCCTTTCCAACGTTTGGTTCGTGAGATTGCTCAAGATTTCAAGACCGACCTTCGTTTCCAAAGTTCAGCTGTGATGGCTTTACAAGAAGCAAGCGAAGCTTATCTTGTTGGTCTGTTTGAAGATACGAACTTGTGTGCTATCCACGCCAAGCGAGTGACCATCATGCCCAAAGACATCCAGCTGGCACGACGAATCCGTGGTGAACGAGCTTAAATCAAGTCCTAAAGACAACCAAAAAAAAAAAACCGGCTCTTTTAAGAGCCACCAAATGTACTAAAAGAAATGAACGAATTCGAATATTTTCCGTTCCCGCCATATTCAAAATGGCGCCAAAAGTGTCGTCCATTTCGCGAAGCTAAACTAAATCGTAAATCGAACTAGTGTTCATCATCAAGGTTACCAGTTCCTTTTTAGGCAATACCTTTGTATCGAGGGGCATTAATTTGAGATATTTTTGGTTTCATTGAAGGTAAATTCCAGTCGCCACATTGTACAAATTTGAACGAAGAGCATCTTAAGTTTTTTGGGGTGCACACAACAGAAAAAATCTGCGATTCCTGTACTTTGGGGGAACATCTGACATTTCCGATGGTCAGAGAACAGCGTTTTACTGTTTTAGTATGTTGAAATTTACAAATTCAGTACTAAATGGGCAAAGGTGTATTTAATTAACTATTATATTGGATAAGTTGCAAGAAAGTTTGTTGAATTATTCTTCATTCTTTGCAGGTTGTCATGGATTAAATGATACGTCTGCATGATTTTGAAAAATGAATTATTATATTAGCAAATTATTGGGGGAGGCTGCAGCCTCCCGGTTGATACGGCCCTGAATAAATATACACTCAATCCCTTCGAAACTTCTGCAATTACAGTTGCCCATATGATTTGTTTTAATACACCCTATAATTCCCATTGTATATTATTGAAGGCTATATTATTTGTTATATATCTACCATATTATGGTTAAAGTTAGTACATTAAAAAAAAAACACTAGAGTCCTTTATTGAAATAAACATAGTCATAAACTTGATCTTTCTTCTTCAATTCCTCTTGCAATTCTGGTTCAAGATGATGGAAGGCTAAAGAACTGAAGAGAAAACAAATAATTAGGTTTTGTACAGTGCATGCCTGAACATTGTGCAAAAACAGTAAAAACACACTGAATGAGCATAGAAAAAAATGAATAGCAGGTGTCTGTGATGCAGGCTAGTGGGTGTGTCCCCAATACTTTAGAAAGGGGGGCCAGAATACATGAATTCTTAAAAATTGCACTGATCTGCTAATTAATGTAATAATCCATCTCGACTCTCGGACAGCATAGCCTAACAGTGGCGGAATTCACCTTTTCCAGTTTGGGGGGGGGGGCAAAGCCTCCTAAATTTCTAACAAAACCTTCAAATTTCTGACAACCCCCCCATTTGCACTAGAAAAGGCTGTTTTTAGCCCTCTTTTATGTCAAAATTTCCAAAAATTGGTCGAGTAAAGATTTCTGCCACTGGGGCCTAACAAAAGAGGCAGAGAATACTCTGAGAATACCATTTCTGACAATCTACAGAGACTCAAAATTTTCCTGCTTGGTGCCAGCCATGTGGCACTTAGTGGAATTGGACCACCATAAGTTTATCAAGCTTCCTACACCCTTGATAAATAGTTTGTACTTACAATCTTTGTGGGAAGATAGCACAGCACATAGGTGTAGCAAACACAAGGCTAAAATAAAAAAGTAAACTTTTTAACTTGATATCTGGGTTAATTTCCATATATACAAAGAACATACACTGATGTATATCACTTACCAACAACCAACTAAAAATACTTGAATTGGAGAAGCAGTCCAAGGTAACCTCTAAGACAATGATAAAGGAAAAGGTCAGTGAATGTTACTGTGAAATTTACAATTTGAAAACTGAATGGTGTAGTAATATAATATAAAGTGGAAAATGTGTATAATTACAATTCATGTCAATTACGTACTTTCATAAATGCAGTAGTGTCTAAACGATTCATCAAGAAAGGAGGGATAACTGCAAAGGAAAAAATATTAATCGACTTTCATATGTGTAAAAGTAAGAGTAAGAAAAGACGATATTATAGGCTGACAAATATTTAATAATTAACATACTCATCCCAGGTGTTGTCATGACAACTCTTGAAAAAACCACACTGGGTACAGCTATTTTTGCAGCATACTAAAGAAAAAATGTGCAAACATTTTAAAATATTTGCCCGGGCCTATAAACTGCTCGTAAGTTCCATATTTTTACATGTAAGTTGTATGTCTTATATGTTCCTCATAATCACCTTAGAAATTCCAAGTTTATTTCCTTCTTTATCATACACTGGAATACCATTTTTAAGTTCTCTAAACATTAAATTTACAATGAAATTAATTGGTACATGTAGATATGATATAATGTGACCAATAGAATCTAGCGGTAATGTATATTACCTTTGTCTCATCAATGGAATATTAACACAATTTGCTGAAGCAACTGCAACAAATGGAACAAATCTACCAACAAGTGGAGGAGCTCTCTGAAAAACAAATAGTGCTCTAATAAGTTTTGCATAGCAATAGTATAAGTTTCAGTTTGTGGAAACACCATGACAAACAAACAAATGGGAAAGAATCTACTCATTGATGTAGGGAATTAGAATCACATGATTGTACTAACACATAAATTAGTTTTACATACTTTCACTAATGAATTGAGTCCGACAGCCACTGCAACAGCACTGGTTGTTGCAACCACATATGCTTGTGCAAGTTGCCTAGGAAATATATAACACATAATGGATTAGTCTGATGAGTTATGGATAGCAGTGTAGCTCACTCTCCTCCACAGAGTCTGAATTATATAGGATTTGTAGGGATAATGTAGGGATAGTAGAGGACATTTAGTGGTGGGAGATCCCGTCTTCCCATCATACCTAGCGCGTTTAACTAACAATACGTAATTTGTTTCCCAAGTAATATTACGTAATTTTACTAAAAATTTGTAAGGCTCTGCGGAGGAGAGTTGAGTGAGTGTAGCTATAAATACAAATGCTATTTCTCAAGTAAATTTCAGTTTCAAACGTACCCTTTTGTAATAGGACTATCACCACTTCTATTTGTATAGTTCACTACAGCATTAAAAGACTGGTTAATCCATTGCCAAAATAACACTTGAGGAACAGTCCTAAAATATCAAAATATATTTCATCACAAACATGCATATTAACATGCAAGTGTTAACAAAAAGGCAGTTTCTTTCAATGTATTTACAGGGCTATCTATATGGAACCTGGCTGGCTTGCAGGATAGTCCAATTTTCATATTTTCTAACACTATGGTTTTTCATTCACTGTGCTTCTAATTCATGAGTCAGCCCTGCTTTCATACAAACAGCCCCAAATACAAGCAGTTGATCAAAAAAGAAAAACCTTCATCAGTCTCACTTGTAAAATGTCATCATACATCCAACTATAGTCATGTTGCATGGCACCTGAGCTGACATACGACCAACGATGAACATCTTCTCTCCAGTCTCAGGATGAAATGCTGACTCGTAAATTTTCTTTGCATGCCATATGTCTTCATCTGTAGTTCCTGCTGGTTCTTGCTTCACCCTATACATAAAATAATCATCAACTAAGCATACAAAATGAAAGGGCAGTAGCTGCCCCAAATGTCAGCAGCTAGCATGGACTACAATTAGTTTATGTATTAATTACCTGTATGCCTGCAAGAGGTTTTTGCTCCGATCCAACACAGCTTCAGAATGAAGAAGATTTCTTGGGTCAGTCACAGTAAAGAAATGTTTAGCTCTGCCCCAAAACGTACTTTGATCAAATCTTGGATGATCTAGATCAATTCTTCCATCTGGAAGTCGAGCAGCTTCTGCCATTACTGACAGCAGATCTTGTACAACTGATCAGCAGCATTAAAATTTTGTAGAAAAGTATACATTATATATACATATTAGCGGAGCAATTGATTAGCATATGCAGAACTTGACAGCCTACTCAAATATATGTCGTTTGGGGCAGACATTTTAGCAACTGCATGGAGTCAAAAGTGTGTGGGTATTTTTTCCCCATGCAGGCCAATATGGACAAATCATAAATGTAAAACTAGCTGATTTGCATGCTCTTCATATCTTTAGTGAATTTTAATGTAAATATTCTCTTTGACCTTCATGTTTTCTCCTTGCTTCCCTAATTGGCTATAATTACCTAATCAGAATTAAATCGAGCAAAATGAATAAAATAATTTACTTCATGCAAGATGAAGAACTACGTGTACTTTACTTCCGAAATTGATAACAGGATGTCAGGAATGGGATGTGTTTGTGTTGACAAGAATTTGTACGTTGAACAAATAAATTGTACATTTTACACATAAAAGTTAATAAACCTTTTATACACTGACACGTAGCGTAAAAACGACATCTAAAAGGTCCATTGTCTCATTTGTTTACAAATATGTTGTAAAAGTCTGTGATTTCAACATAAATATTTCACACAATCACACTATAATATAGCAAATGTTGAAGAAATATAGCATTCATTTACTTACCCTTTCGAAATTTGTATTGCTCAATTAGAAAGAAATAGCCTTCGATATAAAATCTAAAATATTTTAATTAATAGAACGAAAGCTGATTCCAAAGCAAAACCAACCGCCAGTTGTGCGATCTAACATGACGTTTTAACCAATAACTTGTATGATTCCACTGAGCAGACAGTTGTGCCTTGTCGTCACGCCTCCCACACGCCCTAACCATACCTCCCAACCCATTTTGTGCAAATTTCGAGAAAAACTTGATGGTTTATATAGTTTTGCATGGGATTTATTTATTTTTGTTATAGCTTATATAGTTTTGCATGGGATTTTCCCGCAAGCTACTTAGATTTTGTTCATGGACTTTACCGAAAAAAATTAAAATTCAACTCCCCATAGTAACCCCCCCCCCGGGTCACTCCATCTCGATCGGTAAAAGTGCATCATAAAGAATCGTGTCAACCTCGCCAGCCAGGCTCCCTATTTCCGCTTCCCTCCTATAAACACGCTCCAGCTGGTTGGAATTGTGTTATACGACTTATACTGTTATTCCACTACTGTCCATAACAACTTGTTGTCTTGCAAAAACACGTCGTCAATATAAAACGCTTTCCTGATCTATTAAAAATTCTTTGTTTCACAATTGCGTAACTAGTAACTACCAAAAAACACCATTAAAACTGTCACGCATTCAACATCATACGAGATCATTTACTTATTTACTTATTTACAGAAATATGCGTAATTGTAAATTATGGTTGAGATACATTAAAAACGTGTACTTTACCAAGTTTGATAAATTAATTATCCAAATAAACCATCAATTTGTTTTTCAATTCACCCCTGATAACAAAACCCCTCCTGCCATCAACAGAATGGGTGCATCTCTGCCCATGTTTTGCCACAGCTAACAGATACTTTCAAGTTCACCTAAAGATTCGAATACAGCAAACGCTTGCTTGAAAATGAAGAAAGTTGATCTATATATAATAAAAGCTAGATCTATTTTCCCCCAAAGAATACCTTCAACTTGACATGGCCTCCACAAAGTGCATCCGTGTCTTCCAGACAAACTTTAACTAATTCTTAATGGAAAAGGTAATTACAAAATATTAAAAAGGCATCTACACTGCAGTAAAACCCCGCATAAAAGAACCAGTAGGTTAAGAACCACCACTGCCTGAAATTTGGGCAATTAAGCACCGAAAATACAAGTTTTTAAAAGTTTTTTTTTATGTAACGAGAACCACATTTGTGTCATAGCAATAGTTTTAATGTGTAGAATAAAAATAATGTGTAAAATTAATGTGTAGAATAAAAATATTATTATGTAGAATATTAATGTGTAGAATAAAAATAAGTATAGTGTGAAGTGAAGTAAGATTATATCTCAAACTCATTAATAATTCATGAGTAAATTAGCCAACCATATTGCTTTATTTTGTTCACATGATAATACTGGATACTCAGTGAAGTAGATTGATCCAGTCCTAGGACTGGATCAAAATTAATTCACCTCACTTTAATTAATTATTTATTCGTATGAGATGTCATTTTAAAACCTGCCTCCTCCGCAGGCCCTCGTTGTGTCATGGGAAGGAAAACCGACTATGAGGACTGGACTAGATTTCAAGTCCTCGCATTTTGAGGCATGAAGTCCTCGGCTTCGTCTCGGACTTGATCAAATTGCGCGGACTTTAAATCTAGTCCAGTCCTCATAGTCGGTTTTGAAATATTACATAAGAACCACTTCAGCCTGAAGTCAAAATTTACTGGTTCTTTTATGCGGGGCTTTACTGTAATTCAAATCAACCATACATCGTCATACTAAGACAATTCTTACCTTTCACATTTTCAATATAATCATCATGTACTTCGAGTACCAATTCATCGTGAATTTGAATAAGCAATCTAAAAAAAGATACCAAGTCTTGGTCCAAGATTCCGATAAAACTTAATGTACAATGACCAAAAGTGCATTTTATAAACCTTGCTTTCAGTTTCAAATCCTTGTTTTCTAAAGACTGAACGACCAAAAGCATTCCCATCTTGCAAATATCTGCTGCAGATCCTGTAAAATGCCGCCATGAATTGGAAAGAAAGCGGATCACACTAATCGCAAATTATTCGTATAGAGATATGTGGAAATGTTGAGGGGAGTTCAAATGAAAGGAAAATCCATGCTATCATAAAACCCGGTGATAAAAAAGATCTAGTAGAAAAGTAATAAAAGTCAGCAAATAGTTCAAAACTTTTGATGTGCAAAATCAGCATAACAGATGTTCAACTAATTTTGTCCTAATCCTGCATGGATAGTTGCTACCGTTTTAATTTATTATTCATACCTTGTATAACAAAATTAACAGCCTGTCTTTCTGACTGTGAACGAAGGTGTGGATCAGTGGAATTTATTCCCGGAAGTAATCGCCGCCGTCCAAAGATAGTGGTAACATAACCTATAGAAACACGATAGAGATGTAATTGTGTGCAGTTATACGATACAGAGAGGAGAGATGCAGGCCAACATGGTTAAATACAGTGTACTTGTGTGTACGTCTAGTTACACCTCTGTGGCTGCGGTCCGAGTGGTCTGTACGGCAGGATTTTCGATAGTCACAGCTCATGAATTATTTGGTTTTCTCCTGTCTGGACCAATAATATCTTCCGTAAACCACTATAGTTCATAGCTCCAGATGGAGCTCTATAATCTATGCTGCACAACCGTGGAAAGCAGGCGTACTTTATAGCCACAAATCGTGGCTATATCATGGTACGCCGAAAACAGGCATAAAAATAGAAAGAAAAAAACCGTGGCTAAAAGGTATGCCGAAAACAGGCGTACTTTATAGCCACCGTAATAATTACGAGCCCAATAATCCATTAATTGTCAGTTATGCATAATGTAATCAGTGATATGTAATTCGGCTCTAGAACTGATACATCTATACAACAATCTAGTTACTGGCTAGTTTAGTTTAGTTTAGTATACGTGAACCTACCTTGTTTTCTACATTCATTGATGCAACTCTGGATGAAGTGTTTTAGTCCAGTAAATGTGGCTGAAATTATTATAAAATATTTCATATTAACATTACACCATCCTTCTTCTCACATCATAAAGTTTTGATGGAAGACCAATTTTAAACATACGTACCCAGAAAACTGGTGGTAAACGACTTAGCTTGATCTGCGCTCACATTTAATGTATCTGCCAATCGTTCTTTCCCTTTACACAAGACAAATTCGGTAGTAAAAAAAAAATTCGAGTAGCAGAAATTTTAGTAGTATCCTATGGATCTTATGCATGGAGGACTGGATATTGAGAATGAGCATGGGCGTACCGGGCGGACCCCCCCCCCCCAGTTTGTTGGGCAGTCGGGCAATATTCGCTGAACAGTCGGGCAATTTTGGTTTATTAAAAAAATAAATTGGACAAATTCTGTCAATTTTGTGATGTTTCCAAAATTTTTGTTAGGTTTCGGAAAATTTTGGTATGTCCGGGAAAAATTTTTGACCCCTTAAATGGTACACTGAAAAAATTTTTCGGTACGTGTCGGGCAAAATCCGGAAAAGTCGGGCAAATTTCTTTCCGCCCCCCCTAAATTTTTCCTTCCGGTACGCCCATGAGAATGAGAGTCGCATGTGTGTGGATGTCAACAAGAATGACAACATTACCCAACTTACCAACACCATAGACAACCGAGTAAACAACCCTTTTAGCACGCTCTCTATCTTCACTTTGAACTAATTTAGGATCTACTGATAACCTACAGAATATCAATACTTGAATATTACAACCAGACGTTCCAATCCTAGAACCTCGAAATCTGGAGGTTGGTATTTTACTGGTATCGTTTTAAAATTTTGCCACTACCATGCAGGGACAAGAAGGTGTTTGAGAATTATTTTTCTCCTCAAGTGTTGTTAGAATTGTGTTACAAATTGTAGATAGCCTTCTTCAATTTTGTTTTCAAGGGCGTTTGCCTTGACCTGGTAAAAGGCGATGTACATAAGAAAGAGAATCTAAATTGTAAGTGAACACTTACCAAATGGATGCCAACTGAACAAATATGTCGTCTTCAGATTCATTAAATATCTGAAGTAGTAAAGGATCTTCAGAGAAATGAGCCAGCAAGCGTAATTCAATACTTTGAAAGTCTGAAACGAAAGGTAATAAGATGACGAAATGCTGTATATTTACTTTGAGTGAAATTTTTTAAACGAAGATAAATTTTACCAGAAGATAGATTTTACCAGAAGATAGAAATGACCATCCAGTACGACTCTTAAAAGCCTTTCTTGGAACGATTGATGTTGTCTCCATTTCTTTCCCTATATTGGTGAACAGTGGCAATTGATGCACCAGTGAATAATAATAATAATGATAAGTGGCATCAAACTACTTCCAATGACAATGGAGAACGGTAAGTAACACTGGACCAATAACGAATATCCTTGTACTGGACTTCCATAGGGACAAATACTAGTTTAATTAAAACAGATAGACTTGGAAGCTGAAATCAAACTGACGACTATAAAATGGATAAAATTACTTTAGTATCTTCTACCATAACAAAAATTAAGACAAGGAATATGTTCGTACCTATAATAAATTGTTTGGTAACACCAGTTATATCCAGTTGGTTTTTTGGAATCGCTTGGATGTTCTTTAAGTATGAAAAGAAACATTTAAGTTTATTACAAATACGAAGAAACGATGAAAGATATCAATGATGAAATATATAAATGTACAAAGAGAATGGAATAGAAAACCTTAAAAGCTTTCTAAGGTAACAGAATGATTAAATTAAACTAGTTGGATAACAATCCAGTGTCTATATAGTCCTATACGAAGACAGAAAAACAAGAAAAATCTACCTACAGGATTTGTAGATGTCAATCTTCCAGTGGCAGTACAAGTTTGATTCCTAAAAAGAATATGAACCTTTATTCTGTTGTAAGATCTCTATGGCACAATCACAAAATTGGTCTTAAAATTTAATTTTAATAATAATAATCTTTAATATCCATCTTTAGTAAAAAAATACAATGGATTTACAGCTGTAAAAATAATTTCTATACAATAATAATGTATGATATGAAAAAACTATAAAAATGGTTAATGAATGTTCACTCCATGCTTCTTGTTGATTTCTCTCTTCAGCATAAGAACGTACCAGTTAGTATGCAAGACGTCCTAAAAAGAAACACATTTGACTATAAAGAGAAACACGGGCGAGGCACACAGGGCAAGTAAGCTTTTACATAAGATCGTTAAGTCGTGCAAATTAATTAATTAAGGTGTATCTGGTGTGTGCTAGATTTTGCGGCTTAATTGATGCATAGATTAATCGATGACTCGATTTAACTCCCGTAAAAAAACTTGTGTGAGTAGAAGAGTATCATCCACGCAAGGGGAGGCTGGTTTACTTTACTTGGTACTGATTAACTCAAGACAAGCACCAGTTTTCTGAGCCATGTTGAGCCATGCAGCTTCGTGGTTTGAAAAACAAATATGCACTACGAACTGAATGTTTCACTCACATTTTTAACAAAATTTAGTACTCCATCAACATAAGCCGAATTCACTTTTGTCACCTATTCAAAATAGTAAGAAATAGAACGCCTGAACCATTTTCCTTGTAAGATCATTTATATCAACGATATATTTGATTGAAAATTTGCATTACTTACAGATCTGTATTCTAAAATGATTTTAGGCAACGGGTGAAAGTCCTGAAGATGCCTAAGCTACAAGAGAAAACAATCATAATAAACCAGCCAATGCTGATGCTCATTAAACTACAGAGACGAGCTTATAAAATTTATAAGTGTAAATATTACACTACCAAACTGGAGAACCATATGATTGTTTTGACCACTTTAAGATAGACAGAGAGCCTTAAGTATTACAACTCAATTGACAAAGGTCTCCTAGGGTTAGTTAATTATTTTATGATTAACGATTTCAGGAAATTCAGAACACCTGGAGAAAAAACTCTCGAAGCACAGGAAAAAGAACCAGTCAAGCTCTACATTTATGAGTTTTCAAGTTGGTCAACCTAAGTCTTAACTCTGGCTTAACTTATGGAGGTAAGGAGCAACGTACTAATCACATCTGCTCCCCCTGCTTCCCTAAATTATATGCTTCAGAATAAGCATGAGATGCTTACCACGTTTTCTGAGGTTGATTTGTAGTTTTTAATCTGTGTTCTGGCAAGTCGTTTTTGAACATTTTTGTCCAATTGAAGCTCTTTAAAGAGAATCTAAATAACATAGATTATAGAATATTAAGAAATGTGACATTTCGAAATTAATGTATGAGCAAACCATAGAAATAGAGCAAACAAAAACTATACTAAGAAGAAAGAACAGTTCTTTTGATTTGAATAAGCTGTACTCACTTGTCTAAGTTGCTGTGTGCTACTCATTTGAAATGGACGACCAACGCTCTAAAAAAGAAACCAAGCTTTCTATACGCATTGCACCTTTTTATAATCCAGTATATCAGTAACGCAAATTTGCCAAAAATAATCAGTACCTTATAACCTTCCTGTTCTAATTTCTTGATTTTCTTCTACAATAAAAAGAACCAAATTTTCTTCAGATATTTCTTTGAAAAAATCATCTAAGACTATCAACAGACGCAAAGGGCGTAGTTTATAATCAAAGACAAAAATTGAAGAACTACCTTAAGGATATTTCCATAGTCAAGGAGAAGTTTCGTATCAATCTCAACACCAACAAGCTCCATCACTATGAAGAACATCAATCTATTAGAACACGTGCAGGCATACTGGATGGAAAGCACTGGTGGTTGGCCAGATATTAGTGTGCTGCTCAAGCGCTGAGGTAACATACAATTAACTTATGACAAACCTAAGTCAACAAGTCAAGTCTTGAGGTAACATACCACTTATGACAAACCTACTGCTGACTCGTTTCAGTCCGGTTTCAACAACTTGTTACCAGGATGTGTTCGCACTGCATGTCCCCAGCTTGTCGACAAGCTGTCAATGGCTTGATGACAACTTGTTACAAGGTTGTTGAGTCGACAGGCAACAACTTGTTCTCGTCCTGCAATTCAACAACTTGTTAACAAGTTGTGTGTGCCAATCTTGTACCAACTTGTTAAAATGAAGACACTGTGACAACTTGTTGACAAGCTTGAGGGTATAGGCTATTATCGTACTTAATTATTGGCTACTCTGCTCTGAGTCGATGTACTTGTACTTGTAAACTCGTGTATATAGGTGCGTTTTTCTCTGCGAACTCCGGTTTTCCGTCGTGAACAATGGAAGAAAAACTAATTAACCCATTCATCGTTATTTTCTCCTCTTCACGAATAAGTGGGTGGTTTCCCAAGGTTTGTTACCTGCAAGGTTTCTTACCTGCCAGAATTGGAGAAATTTTCATTTCCACTTCAGAGAAAAGTTCCCATAGCTTTTTCTCCTGTAATGAAAGTGGAATGAATGTATTATCAAAAGTGCATGAAGTATATAGATAGTGTATGAGGTAGATATTCATGTACAACATAAAGCGTTAGCTATTTCTTAACTACTTTACTTGAAGAGCCAGAAACATATCAGGCATTAGAGATAACAGTAAGAACATATCTTCGTCCACTTGACCATTCACTTCATTGTTCTTGTCTGATTCCTACAAAAACGAAAACTCATGCATACAGTCAAGTTAAACTTTGCTGCAAACTTTTTGGATGCGGCAACGGGAGATGCAGACAGTTTCTCCATCAATATATCTTGTACGTATAACATAAATAGTATACACATAAATGGTATCTTTCAAACTTTACGTTGTTGCGCAGTTTTTCTTTTCCAAATCCATTGCACAAAAGTGCGTCATAATGTTCTGGAGGGTGATCTGGGTCAAACAGCCATGACGCAATTTTTGGATCAAAACATCGCCAATGGAAACAACCTAAAGTTGAGATTGGTTACAAAAGCATCAACTTCTGTTTTATTTTATGCCTAGCCTCATGAGCACGCTCATTAGTATATTACAGGGTTTTGTAACATATATGAGCGTGCTCATTAAGATACTAAAATCGCGTGTATGCCATGTCTTGCCGGCCTATATCATGGATGGGTTTCATTGAGCAGTATATGGTGGTAATTAATCTGCATATAACAGAGTGAGAAAATAATGTTATAACTCTTTCAATTATATGTAGTAGTCTTGTATTTGGTGGCGAACAAAAATATAGATCACATGTAACTTCTTGCCCCTACAAGTGTCAAGGTCAGTTACTGGAACCAGTGAGTTGAAAAAGAAATATCTTTATCTTACCAGTATGATATTCAATGTTCAGAACATTTATCACTGTCTTTATAAACTTTTGTGCGTTATATATTACTTTATTACTCTCGTTGACCATAAAGCTTGAGAAAAATTCCCTGAAGAAAAAAACTGAAATTACATGTCATAAATTATATATGGACCACTTGCTAAACTATAGGTCACTGGAATCCACTAAACAATAATGAATGCTTTACAAAAATATATTAGCAAATGGAAACGAGTATTAAAGTGACAAACCTCAACCACTGGTAGTATTCAGAGCTGTTGTCTTTCAAAGACGTTAAAGGAAACCAGATACGGCAACAATCATCTGTGGAATATGTAACGTTTCCTGAAAAGCTAAGGTATATTGCTTTCACCTGCAAAAAAGTACTAAATCAGTAACTGTGCATCTAGATAAATGACAAATAACTTTTTAACATTTTTCTAACAGCAACAATTAAAATATTCAATTTAACATCCATAAAAACTCCACCAAAAAACAAAACTTTTGTCCCTACTGAAACTAACTTAGCTTATAGTTAATATTACTCGCTTTAAAACTGACCCATGAATGAGTCTTTATTCAAAGTGATTTTGAAGTTAGTTTATCTTACTAATTGTAAGGTTTAGCATATAGTTTGATATTTGAGGGTATATCTTTCTAGTTTGCTATGCGATACTGAAACGCCTTTCTGTCCTTAGGATGTTTAACAGATCAGTTTGCCTGGTTATCCTATATATGGCTATGACATACAGAAAGGCAAGATTCTTAAGCCTGGTTTTCATATGTCGGAATGCATCGATGATGTTCTCATGGTCCATTCGAAAATCCTTCCCAATACTCAATACAGGGACAATAGCCGTGAAAAAAAATTTATACACCAATGCAGCCTCGTACCCAGGCGCAATTAACTAAAAATAGGCATACTACAGGTTTTTAATGGAGCTAGTTGAGCATCGCCGATGAATGACAACCATAGGCTTTAAACTATACTCACTACACTCTTGGTTGTACTAGGACGTAGCAAAGTACTACCATCCACATATACCAAAGTGCAAGCAACGGTACTGGCTGCCAAAATCTTTTTCATCACCACTTCTCTTTCTTCCAAACTCATACTTTCAATATTTTCTGCAGCTACTTTCTCCGACTTGGCAGAACTAAAATCTTGAATGTTCGTTTGCCCTTTGGCTTTGGTATTTTTCCTGTGGTGCTTAACCTTTGGTAAATATGAAGTTATATCCATTTGGTTAGCAGCATGCATCGGTTTAGAAACTTCTGTTGGATGTTTAACTTTTTGCTGAAGCTTTAAATCATTCTGTTTGTAGGCACTGTTTTCCACAGGTGTGATCATTTCCGGTGGCTGTGATTTTAATAATTTTGCAGGATTGCAATTTGTAGATTTTCTTGCTAGATAATATGTGTTATAAAATTTAGTGTATAATAATATTTTTCATACATATATGAAGTCTTAGAGATGATTCTGAAATACATTAAAATATGCAAATTTTAATAACTAAATAGAATTTTAAGGAAGTAAAACTGTAGTACCTACCCAGAGGAGTTATTCTGGAATGGTCTAATTGTTGTTCCCTATAATTGGTCGAAAACACTTTATTAAACTTGTCTACTCTAAGGGTGAATTTGATACAAATCACACAATGGTACCATACAAGAAACTCACTGTACGTGGCAATGTTTGAATTCCTCCAGCCGTTTGCCTATTGAAGATGTTTTAGGTGACACTGTTTGAAGATTTACTTTGCCTATTGAAGATGTTTTAGGTAACACCGTTTGAAGATTTACTTCTCTTTCTGCCTGTGAGACAAAAGATGACGGGCAGTCGGCAGTATCTGCACTTTCTTGTTGAGCAGACAATCCTGTCGAAACTGAGTTAAAGTAAGATGACCCGCTTAGAGTACTGTCATATGTAGATCCCTTATACGCACTTCCTAAACATAAAAGAAAACACTCAAGAAAGCTGAAAGGGTGAACTAAAGTAAAGGTAATGACAATAAGATTTCTACTAGACTGCAACTTGTGAGCCAGATTATGTAGAAACGTGCTCAAATGAGCCACAGAAAGACTGTAAACATGCATGGTCCAAGTTTCATTTTGCGGAAACTCGTAGTGGTCATTCTCATTCATTTCTTTCAAGCCCCGAAGGCACTATACGCTCTGTGTATACTTTTTACATCAACATGGCTCATTGGCTCTGTGTCTGAAATGAGTTGCAAATTGCAACAGTTATATACAAACTTCTTCACATTAGGGACGGACCATTAGAAAAGTGTGGGCGGGGCCGCGGGGGAAGAACAGAAAAAAGCCATGCAGGTAAAAAATTTCTCGGGGAAAAACTACACAGCCAGGTGACAGTAAAAAATATATCAAAGCCTAAAAATTACCATTTCGAGAAGACAGCTTGCTTTCCGTCTCCTGGTCAGTTTCAGGACACATGCTAGTTTGAGATTGAGTTGACTTTTGCCAGTTATGGTAATTTGAGTTGCGGCATTCTGATTTTAAGAATATATTTGGAACAGTAAAATAAGGTGATTCACTGGAAGAGCATTCGGAATTACGTTCTATAAAATAACAAATATAGATAATAGAAATATTTTTGGATTGTGTTTTTCAGGTATTTCTTCAACTACAATTAGATATACCTCTTTTAATATCACGTTCACATTCACGAGGTCGAGGTAATCGTGGTTCGCACGTTCCCCTTTGTCTGTCTCGTATATTTCTGAGAACCGCTTGAGCTTCTTGGAATGTTATACCTAGCCGTGTGGCGTCCATCATTCATCAAAGTCTCCGCACTATCAGATTGTTCAAAAAATATATTACTGGAAAAAAAACACTTTCGAGTATTAAATAAGCACAAAGTCAAAAGAAAAATTTGGAAACGTAAACGTATTTGAATTAAAAATGCAAAACGCAAGTATTCAAAAAGCTCAAATATATTATAACCATTTTAGCATTTAAATATTCACCTGAAAAATTTGCGGTGGGCGGTTTGCCTTTCTTGGACTTCTTGCAGTTCTCAAAATATTTTTCCACATATATGTTTCCAACCTGTTTTCTTCCCCGTACTTTCAATTTATTCAGTTTACCTAACATATCAGATATTATTTCACTTTCAAACAAACTTAACTGAGTAGGAAACAACAAATAAATAAAAAACTTACCTTTTTTAATAATTATAAAAACAATTTTCGTTTTTCCCGCCACAAAATTTGCTTAGGAGAATTCAATGGATAACGAGGGATCAGATAATCGTCGGGTGAACGTCGGTTATATTCCGACGCTTTCCGAATTCCGATAGCATTCCGACATTTTACGAACAGGTGTAATCAACAATGGCGTCGCATGGCAACAAGATGCAACTACATTCTATATAAACAATACAACACAGATCGAACACAAGAAGCAGCACATCTGCAAAAAGACAAGATCTCTCCGTATCTTAACTAGTATCTGCTTATTATAAATCTTGGATCTTTCTGAACCATTAAAGAGATGGCCACTCGTTGTATTTGTCAGATTTGTACATGCGGGTAAGTTCGCCAAACATGTTTACGTATTTTTTTCTTTAGATTACTATAAACTGCTGCAAAATGTATTGCAAGGGCAATTTCCAAACAATTAGAGTACTTGAATTTTATACACTGATTTATATCAGTGCCTTGACACATTATTTAACAAGATTTATAGCCGTCCATAGTAGGCACATAAAGTTAGGATAAGAATCGATTATTGCTTCAAATTTTAATAATTGCAGGTTCGAAAATTTATAAGTACATGGATTTTACAGTTGTGTAATAAATAGATAGGAGTTAAGATAATATCCTAAGCTTTTGTGATTCAAAACAAAGTTGAGATAGGTATTATATGTATATAGTGCACGCTTACAAAGGATTATAACAGCTTTAACATGCAATAATTTTGATTTTGCAAATACAAGTTCAGTGTTATTGCTGTCGTCTTAGCAACTACATTTTTGTTTACAGTATTAACTATTAATGTACGACCTGTAATAAATAAGATAATTTAACTGCAAATTGAACTTCAATATGTTCCCTCTACGAGTTCCTCTTGAGTAGAAAATATATTTCCACATAAATTTTTACAATAGATATTCATCCTAGTGAATAAACATCTGTCATGTATAAAAATACATATTGGGTCACTTGTGTCGGACTTTTTCTTGGGTGGGCATAGCTTCTGCTGAGAATTTTATATCTTGAGGCTGTTATCAGTCAAACTTGCAACTTATATACCCAGCATATGTAATAGCATTCTGCTGCTTCAAAACTTCTGCTGAAGTTTTGAAGCAGCAAAATTCTATTAGATATGGTTATTAAACCTTCATGCACAACTGTGACAGAAGGTTAACAAGGGTTCCACACGTGTGCACCACTATTTTCTACCTCTTGAGAGACAGAATTAAACCAAGTCTACTGTTTGCCCTAAAAGATGTATATGGGTTGGAACATGTTGACATTAGAACAGGTAGCACAGAATGAGATAACTTCAGCATGCATTTATGAATGATAATTATTAATTAATTATTATTAATTAACTTTTATCATAATTATGTGATCTTTAGGAGACACAGGTGTATTCACCATCCTGAAGTACGAGCAAGACCTGGGTCCAAATGTCTTCTATCTGAATACAAGGACACATATCGTAATGTAGCTGTACCTCGTACCATGCCGATCAAGCCAGATGGTGCTCCAAAATTCTCAAATGAGCCAGTTGAGGGCAAGACGACCAACAACATGACATACATTCCACATCAAGTACAACCTCCAAGCAAACGAGACAAGGAAGAGTATCGTAAGCCTCAGGGGGATGTTGAGAAGACATCAAGTTATACCTACGACTATATACCACACAGGACTAACCCTGCATCTACAGCCAAACCATTGCAGAAGTATGTGGCAAGTCAAGGTCCATTTGATGACGGCACCACCCATAACCACACCTATATTCCGTGGGACCTCCATGGTGCAATGGTGAAAAGCATGAGACCTGATAACTCGCTGAAGCCAACAGATGGCAAAATGGATTCCAAATCCACACAACAATTGGATTTCCCTGGCCACTATGGTGCACGAACACAACCCATCAACCCGCCAGCCCCTGCATTCCGACTGTCGTCAGCACCCATGGAAGGCAAGACAACAACAAAGGTTGATTACACAAAGAAGGATATCCAACCGAGGACCGCAATGAAACCAATGTACGAGTATCCTACAGACAGACCACCACTAGACGACATGACAACTTGTAATCGTGATTTCACCTGGCAAGACGGCAAGCCTGCAATGAGTTTTAAACCTCCTGCTGCCCTAATGACATCTGGTGTTCCCTTTGAAGGTGATACGAGTTACCTGAACACTTTCAAGCAATGGCCATTGACGAAACGCGAGGCTAGGGAGAAGGAACTTTACCAACCACCTACAACAAAGTTTGATGGGACAACATCATTTCAACGTGATTATGTGAAACATCCATTGTGTCGTGCCAAACTTGCAAAACCAGATGTCTATGCTTTTGCATCCAAACAACCGATTGATGATAGCACTGAACATAATGACGCATTTAAACAATGGAATGTCGGCCTACCTGACAGGGTTCGTAAACCTGATAACTACAGAGCACCTACGATGAAGTTCGATGGACGAACCAACTATCAAAGTCACTACACTGGTGATTTTGCCTTACCTGCTGAGGCTGTGAAACCTTTAATGAATGCCCGAGCCAAAGGCGATATGGAATTTAAAACAAGCTACAAAGATACATACAAGGGTCATCGACCACCATCATGTCCTGCAAAGTACCTTCCATCTGGTCCTTCTGCAACAACCAATGGTTTTGCATACACACATGCTGCACATGGACACACCTTCTATAGACCTGCTATGGGTCAGAACAATGAACCTATGCAAACACAGGCCTGAGTTGTTACTCATGCAACTGCAGGTATATAATAGAGAATGCATCAAGTTTAGAATGTCGTGTTTCGATACAAAAGGAAATGGTTTCACTAAGAACAACTTAACAAAATTTTAACAACTGAAATCTAAATGCCAATTAAGACCTTTATGCTTTACTAGCTGTGACATCAGGCCTTGCCCTAGGAACATGCGGATACCATACATTTGTGATTGAATGGGAAGAAAAACATAAAATGTGCACCTGGAAATGCAAGATTCACCAACATACATTACATTGTTCTGTGGACATTACAATGTACATCTTTGTTCTGTAGATGCACAGCATGCATGGATTGTAAAATGTAAAGATATTTAATCAATTGCACTGAAAATAAAATGGAATGAATAAAAGAAAAGCAAAATCACTTGTATTTTCATTATGTTTTACTGTTCTGTCATTAAATATAAAGTGACACAAAATTACAGTCTATGTATATGATTGTGGTTATAGAGAGGTCTTGCTAGTGAGATTCTTTTCATATATTGTGGTTCAATGACTAATATTAACTGTAAGTTTTCAACTTCACCGGACTTCTATCTATGACTTTTTTCAAAACATCAAAAGCATCTCAGTCACCAGGCTAGACATCTCGGTAACCGGAATCACATGCCAAATAGTATAACTATTAAATGCTTTTAGCTTTTGTAATGCTCTCTTTAATAACTTTAATTTAAAAAGTTGTCAATATAATACAATAAACCTTACGGTTTTAGAACTTGTACAAACATTCATGTTTGTCACTTCATGAAATTTCTGAGGTTAGGTTGTCAGGCACTTGATGATATTTCATGAAGTTCGGTTATCTTGCACTTGAAACCAAGCTGCTTTCTAGCTGTCATTGTTGTCAAGGCTGTATTGGGGGGGGGGGGG